GAATTCCGCGGTGCGGATTGTTGTTGTTGCTGGTGTTGTTGTTGCAACTGCTGCTGCTGTTGCTGATGTTGTTTTATTATTATTATTATTATTATTATTATTAGTATTATTATTGGTATTATTAGTATTAGTATTATTATTAGTATTCGTATTTTCTTTTTTATTATGATGTATTTTAGTATTATTAGTATTAGTATTATTATTGGTAGAATTATTATCATTATCATTATTATGATTAGTGTTGTTGTTGTTTTGTTGTTGTTGTTGTTGTTGTTATTATTGTTACTGTTGTTACTGTTGTTGTTGTTGTTGTTGTTGTTGTTGTTATTGTTGTTGTTGTTGAACTCTAACTACTGAAGAATAATTCTTGTTGATCCCCCCTCCGGCGGACATTGTATTTTTTCAATTGAAGTGCCCCTTCCGGGGCTCGCACCCTGTTTTTTATCAGGGAAAGTCGTGGGCATCAAACTGCGTTGTTGGCCCCCCGGACAACAACAACAACGGCTCCCGCATGATACTTCCTCCAAATTTACTCAGGACCCCCGCCCCCGCCTGGGACTTCCTCGCAGTTTACTCAGGCGGAGGCGCTCCCGCTTGAGACTTCCTCGCAAATTACTCCGGACCCCCGCCCCCGCCTGGGACTTCCTCGCAGTTTACTCAGGCGGAGGCGCTCCCGCCTGAGACTTCCTCGCAAATTACTCCGGGAGCGGCGCTCCCGCCTGGGACCTCCCTCACAACTGAGCATCAAACTGTGTTGTTGGCCCCCCGGACTACAACAACCTCCCGTCTGCCTCCTCCCTCCCCTCTCCTGCCTCCTCCCTCCTCCCTCCTGTTTCTCCTCTCTCCTTCCTCGTCCCTCCTCCAAACTCCCTCCTCCCTCCCTTCCTCCCCCCTCTCTCTTTCTCTCCCTCTCTCTCTCTCTCTCCCTCTAAATCGTCCTCCCCCCTCCGCGTCCCGTCCCTCCTAGCATCTTCCCTCCTCCCTCGTCCCTCCCTGCTCCCTTCCCTCCTCCCTCGTCCCTCCGCCCGCCCTTCCAAAGAGAAATAATCCCCCTAAAGGGGGTACGTTCGAATACTAAGAGGGCGGGTATCGAGGGTGTGCCTCGTGTTTCATTCAGGATTCACCCTTTAGTCACCCGCCCGCCAGGTTTCGCCCGCCCGATCCGCCTGTTACAGCCCGCCCGTTCGCTCTCTTGGCATCTCGCCCGCCCGCTTTAAGCCACCGGCCGCCCGACCCGCCAGCGAGGGTCCGCCGCCCGACCCGTCCGTTGGCGTCCGCCCGCCCCGCCAGCCCGACCCGCCCCTCAGAGTCCGCCGCTCGACCCGTCTGTCTGGTTCGTCCGTTTGTTTACCTCCTCTTTTGCCCCCCTCCCCCCCTGCTAACCTCTTTCGTCCTCCATCCATCCTCCCCCCCTTGCCCCTTCCCTCCTCCCTCCCTCCCCCCACTCTTTTCCTCCTCGCTCTCCCTTCCTCCTTCCCCCTGCTCTTCCTGTTTCAGGGGCTGCGCCAACTACACGTGGCGAGTAAAAAGGATATACCCCCAAAGGGGTATGACCGAAGACGAAGAGGGTGGGCATCGAAGGTTTGGGATTTACATATTGAGTGACGCGCGCGCATATAAGAGCGATCAGTCGTAAGATGATTGTTGTTGTTGTTGTTGTTGTTGTTGTTGTTGTTGTTGTTGTTGTTGTTGTTTGTTGTTGCCGTCGCCCCACCCGCGACCCACCGCGACCCACCCGCGACCCACTCCGCGACCCACCCGCGACCCACCCGCGACCCACCCCGCGACCCACCCGCGACCCACCCCGCGACCCACCCGCGACCCACCCGCGACCCACCCGCGACCACCCGCGACCCTCCCCCGCTACCCGCTGCGACCTCCCCGAGACCCCTCTTGCGACCCCCAAAAAGTCCGCGACCCACCGCACCCACCCGCGACGCGGGCCCACTGCGACCCAGCACCCGCCGCCACGGCGAACCCACCGCGACCCACCCGCGACCCTCCTCCGCGAACCCCTACCCCGCACCCACCAAATTGTTCGGGCGCCTGGGCTGGTTTCTCTTGCATTCGTCTGTCCAAATGGAGAACCTCTAAGCGACTTACCGATCGCTTGCCCAGTAGGGTGCCTCGGGATTTTGGGTTTACCCGGATTCCTCGGCCGACTTTTTTTTATGCGCTTGAATAAAGAGGAGGTTACTTGCGACCCACCCGCGACACAAACCGCGCCCGCGACCAACCCGCGACCCACCCGCGAGCCACCCCGCGACCCACCCAAAATTTTCGGAGCCTGCGGCGGGCTTCTTTTGCAGTCGTTCCAGATGGAGAACCTGCGACCCACCCGCGACCCAAACCGTGTTCAGTGTACAAATCAAATTTTCGGCGCCTGCGGCGGTTTTTTCTTGAATTCCTTCAAGGTGGAGGTGGAGGGCCCGCGACCCAAACTACGTTCACTGAACAACCAAAACTTCGGCGCCTGCGGCGGGCTTCTTCTGCAGTCGTTCCACGTGGAAGACCTGCGACCCAAACCGGGCTCAGTGTATACATCATGCCTTAGCAGCTCTATACCGTGGCCAAGATGGAAGCACTGAGACCGGCAGACATACTATCCTTTGTTCATCTTTTCTGTGGCGGAAACTCGCCGCCGGTGCTTAAAGGCTTCAAAAGCAAGTGCGCCGTGGGCCCAACAGAACGAGGCCGACCGCTGATCTGCAAGCCTCGAGGGACCCAAGGGGGCACGACACTTCCTGGGAGGGTGGGCTGGGAGCACAAGCTCTCGAGCTTAAATGGATGCGGAAAGGTTTGCCCGTCGTGTGAAGCCCCGAGCCCTTCAACGATTAAACCTGCGGCCGCTCTCTGACGTTGCATTGCATTTCACAGTGAAACAATATACATGCCTTAGCAGCTCTATACCGTGGCCAAGATGGAAACACTGAGACCGGCAGACAGACTATCTTTTTTTCATCTTTTCTGTGGCGGAAGCTCGCCGCCGGTGCTTAAAGGCATTAAAGGCAAGTGCGCCGTGGGCCCAACAGAACGAGGCCGACCGCTGATCGGCAAGCCTCGAGGGACCCAAGGGGGCACGACACTTCCGCACTTGTCCAAAAATTTGGCATCTCAGGGTGGGTGGGCAGGGCATTGCCCCACGGGAGGTCACGCAACTCATCGTGACCACACGCAAGCAGATTTATGAATGTCTAAAGCAGCCCGAACATTCGAAAAAGCGCGGGACAAATGGGAGCACAGCTCAACGAGATATATTTCAGCCTTCTTTGTGAACCAGCCTCGCGGACCGTCAAAGCCAGACAAGGTTCGATGAGGCAGACCAGTACGGTAACATGTTCTTCCAGTGCAAACCCTATGGATACCGGTCAGATCTATACGGCAGCCCAAGAAACGCGTGGGCTTCTTCCATCTTTCGCCAAACATGCAGTAGCAGGTGTCGATGCAGGAGGCCGACTTCCACGATTTTGCCTTGAGGAGCCGAGGGGGCAGCCAGATTCTTGATGAGGATGGATTTTCCAAGGTGGCTGGACGTTGCTGGTGCTTGAGCTGCTCCATGATGCTGATGCTCAGCCGGGCCAGCTCGTTCCCAACTCGAACGGCCTCCAGATCGGCGGGATGACGCAGCTCAGGAAGGCCGATATGGGGGGCCAGGCCGCGGCCGCTCCGGGTCGCGGATCGGCCCGCGGTCGCGAGCGCGACTCCAGGTGCTGCACGGCGTCCCCAGGTGCGCGCCCCAGATGCGCCCGGCGGCGGTCCAGCCGCGGATGAGCCGCTGGTTGCTCCTGAGCGTCAGGTCCCAGCTCGGGCCCCGCAGCACGTCCCACTCCAGAACCAGGTAGCCCAGCTTCCTGAGCTCGACGGCGAGCCGGCCACAGCCGCTGAAGATATCTAGAAACACCTGCGGCTGCTGCCGCGACCCGCGGCGGGCGGAAAAGAGGCGCTCGAAGGCCGCCCGCGGAGTGACCTCAGGCGGGCCGGCGCCCCCATCGCTTGCGCCAGCACGTGCCGTGGGGGGCGACGAAGCTGACTCGACACCCGGCCCTCTCTGTGGCACCTTTGCACGGCGGTGCCGCTCCTCCAGCGCCCGCGCAGCTTCATCTCCGCTAGCGCGGTGGCCCCGAGCGCCTGGTCGAAGTACAGGCCGCTGTGCCTTAGCATGTACAGCTTGGGCTTCAGCGCCTCGAGGCCGCACTCCTGCCTGGCCTGTCGGAACCTCTGAATGGAGTCGGCCTGGCTGAAGGCGAACGCGCGCTGCCCTGGAAGCGTGCTTAGCCCTCCTCACGCAGGCACGGGGTCGAGGAGCAGCTTGAAGTCCTCGCTGGGCCCGAAGTGGCAGTGGAAGCTCAGCACCACCAGCGCGGCCGTTGCCCAGCACCCGTCCAGCACCCGAGCCGTGCCACCGCCGTCCACGGCAGGGGCAGGCGGGTGCGCCTGGGCGCGAGACGGCGCCACCCGTGGAGAATATGCTCTGCCTGCGGGAGGCGGTGGCTCCCCGACATGCCGAAATCGGGGATGTGGACCTTCGCCTCGGTCCCCAGGTGCGACCCGAGGTGCGCATGCTCGCTGCCAGGCACTCCTCGGCCATCCCGAGCGCGTGCCAGGAGCCGAGGAGGTCCTCGAACGGCGCCCCCTGGGCTCGGCGCTCCCGCCGCTGAGTCGCCTCGGGCACGCCTGACAGACGTCGCCGCTCGAGAAATCGGCCCCAGACGAGCTCGCACTTGGCGAGGGTCAGCGGCGGCGCCGACCTCTGCTGCAGCCGGGCCCGGCCCACTGGGGGCGCGGCCTGAGTGGCCTCCAGCCGCTGCCGCTGCTCGGCGTGCACTCGACGAGCGCTGGCCTGGGGCGGCGGCCGCGCCGACGTCGGCAGGGCGGCCCGCAGCGTGCGGGCCGTGGGCCGTCGCCGCCTCGCTTCCCTCGCCGAGCGCGCGCCCTGGGCGCCGCCGTCGTCGCCTCGCGGCAAGACCGGCGCCGGCGGGCTCGTCGGCGCCCAGCTCGCGGAGCTCCTCGACAGCGCTCTGACAATCACGGCGGTGGCTCACCTCGGCTCCGCCCCGAGCCGGCCAGCGGCACCCCTCGGCACCGTCGGCGCCGCAGACGAAGGGGAGGCGCACGCCGATGGGCACGCGCCGCCTCGAAGGAGCGCTAGCAGGATTGCGCTCCGACGGCAGCCAGCGCAGCGTCGGCGCAAGCGCGCCGGCCAGACACCGCGCCGCCCATTGTCGGGCGACCCGCGTCAGCCCTCGCGAGGAAGAGCGCCCCTTGGTTAGAGCCAAGACCGACGAGAGGCTGTCCGACAAGAAGAGCACACGCTTCCCGAACATCCGCCTGTCTCTTAGGGCGTGACGAACGGCGCGTGCGAGGGCCCGACCTTCGGAAACCACGATGTGCTCGGACCAGCCCCAGCCCCCGCTCGAGACGACCTGCCACTCCCCGTCGAGCACCGCCGTCGGCACGTCCTGGACCGGGTTGAGCCTGCAGGGGCCCGCGGGCGGTTCCTCGCCCAGGCAACCCCTCGGCCGCGCCTGCCCCATCGGCCCCTGGCGGGCCTCGGAACCTCCAGCGATCGTTCTCCCGGCCCAGAGCCCGCGCCCAGTCGATGTCCACCTCCCGTTGCGCGACCCCACGCCCCTGCTCACTCGCGTCGGAAGCGCGCGCCCTTGTCTCCCACTCGGCCCGCAGATTGGCCCACAAAAGGGGCAGTAAACCTACAGCCCAGCGAAGCTCCCGGCGAACTCCGTCCGACAGCGGTCGAGCAGTGTCTCTGTGCTTAGTGGCGAAACGATGCGCCGCATCGAAGATGGACAACAAGGGCCTCCGTGCGAGCCCCGCAAAAATGACATGACTTACAATCCGACTGATCTGTCCACCTGTGGCTACTCCTCTGTCGAGCAGGGCCAACGCCCCGATCCTAAGACGCCAGGGCCTACGGGCCCGCGGCCGCAGCACGCCCCGAGAGCCTCTAATTCCCAGCCAAGACCCTCGCAAGTCAAAGAGGCCTCCAGGGGCTCATGAAGAGGCAGGCCCGCCCCGGACAGCGACTCCGTCGCGCGCGCGAGGAGCTCGTTGGCCCGCTCGGCGGAGGTGGCGAAGCCAAACAAATTATCAACATATTCAGCGCGCATCCCGAGGCTTAGCGGAGGAGGGGCCCGACCGTCGACGAGACGATCGTTATCGCCGAGCCCTGCCCGCTCGCGCAGAATAGTCTCGTGCGCGCGCTGGCAGAAAGCTAAAGCGTGCGACCAGCCCATGGGAAGGACAGCGAATCTGAGCCTCACCCAGTCACGCGGCCCCAAGGCCTGGCCCTGGAGTTCGGAGATCCCCAGGTTTCCAGCACGGACGCGAGGGAGGGAGAAAAAAGGGCGGAGGGCAGAGGGGAGACCCACGTGGTAGAACGCGCCACATATCTACGCCTGACATCCACGAATCCTGCCCACCAGGAATCTCGATTGAAGATAAGCTGGCACCAGTGGCGAGATCCGCGTGCTCGGGATCCTCAAAATGGAAATTGCTTCCACGACAGTCTACTACAAGTCTCTGTGAGCCACTCTTTTTCCACATCGTGAACAAGCCTACCTCCTCGCGTGCTTCAACCGACTCGGGAACAAGGTCGAGCACCCCTGCCTCCAGCAGCCGACGCGTGAACTCCGCGCGGCGGGCCGGCTCTCGGAGGCAGGGGTCGAGATATGGCTTGGGGAACTTAGCTCCAGCCTTCCGCTCCGCAGCAAGCCGACTTGGCAAAACCTAGCTGTCGAGAAAAGCTCCGGCAAAATCGGGGCCATCCCGTCCGAGGAGCTCGTCCAGAGGGCGCGCGACGGCACCCGCCTTGGGAAGCGAGACGAGGTCGAATGTCAAAGGGGCCAGCGTCTGGGGCTCTTCAGCCCCATAAGCTGGATTGACCTGCAGCTCCCGCAGGGCCGCGTCGGCCGTGAGTTCAGGCGGTGGGCCGCCTAGCTCCGCGCAGCAGCTGGCGAGGTGCGCGAGCGCCAGCTCCTGGATGTGACAGGGCGTTGCCAGCGGCTGGCGGCGAAGCTGATCCCCGCCAGCGCCCGCCGCCGCTTCACTGTGGAAAATTGCCGCCCTTTTCCTCCGGACCCCGGCCCCCCCCGCCCCCCCCCTCCGAAAATCCCCCCACCCCCCTGCTTGACACCCTCCCCTCCTATTTCCCCCGGCAAACCCCCCCCCTTCCCTACCCCCCCCCCCCCCCTCGAGCTCGAAAATCGGGGCGGGGGGGCCACTGCCGGTTCGACCCCACCCGCCCTCGAAAACCGGAGGGGGGGGGTTCACTACCAGTTCGAACCACTGAGCTGTCCCACTGTTCCCACCACTGCCCCCGCTGTCCCTACCGCTGTCCCCGCTGCACCTCTGTCGCATTGTCCCACCGCCGCCCTCGCCACCGCTTGCGCCACTGTCCCCATCACCACTGTGCCCTCCGCTGTCCTAGTGTTTCCACCACATTCCCACTGTCCCCGCGCCGCTGCCCCCACCACCACCGCCCCCATCACTGCCCCACTGCCCCCACTGTTCCCACCGTTGTCCTCACCATTGTCCCCGCCACTACCGCCCCTACCACTGTCCCACTGTCCAACCACTGCCCCGCTGTCCCCCTCACCACTGCCCCCGCCACCACCGCCCCCACCACTGTCCGCACCCCCCCTCGGTTTTCGAAGGGGGGGGGGGTGAACCGGTAGCGACCCCCTCCGGTTTTCGTTTCAAGCTCGGGGGGGGGGTCGAACCCGCAGCGACCCCCCCCCCCCTCCTTTTCATGGTGAGCTGGGGGGGGGGGGGGGATTCGAAGCGGTAGCGACCCCCCCCGGTCTTCCGGGGGGGGGGGGTCGAACCGGTAGTGACCCCCGCCGGTTTCCCGCTAGCAGCAGTAGAACACGCTCTTTCTCATCGCCGAGCCCTGCCCGCTCGCGCAGAATAGTCTCGTGCACGCGTTGGCAGAAAGCTCAAGCGTGCGACCAGCCCATGGGAAGGACAGCGAATCTGGGCCTCACCCAGTCACGCGGCCCCTAGGCCTGGCCCTGGAGTTCGGAGATCCCCAGGCCTCCAGCACGGACGCGAGGGGGGGGGACAAAACGACGGAGGGCAGAGGGGAGACCCATGTGGTAGAACGCGGCACAGATATTTACGCCTGACATCCACGAATCCTGCCCTCCAGGAATCTCGATTGAAGACAAGCTGGCACCAGTGGCGAGATCCACGTGCTCGGGATCCTCAAAATGGAAATTGCTTCCACGACAGTCTACTACAAGTCTCTGTGAGCCACTCTTTTTCCACGCCGTGAACAAGCCTACCTCCTCACGTGCTTCGACCGACTCGGGAACGTGGTCGAGCACCCCTGCCTCCAGCAGCCGACGCGCGAACTCCGCGCGGCGGGCCGGCTCTCGGAGGCAGGGGTCGAGATGTGGCTTGGGGAACTTAGCTTCAGCCTTCCGCTCCGCAGCAAGCCGACTTGGCAAAACCTAGCTGTCGAGAAAAGCCCTGGCAAAATCGGGGCCATCCCGTCCGAGGAGCTCCTCCAGAGGGCGCGCGACGGCACCCGCCTTGGGAAGCGAGACGAGGTCGAATGTCAAGGGGGCCAGCGTCTGGGGCTCTTCAGCCCCATAAGCTGGACTGACCTGCAGCTCCCGCAGGGCCGCATCGGCCGTGAGTTCAGGCGGTGGGCCGCCTAGCTCCGCGCAGCAGCTGGCGAGGTGCGCGAGCGCCAGCTCCTGGATGTGACGGGGCGTTGCCAGCGGCTGGCGGCGAAGCTGATCCCCGCCAGCGCTCATCTGGTTCAGCGTCTGAATCAGGTCTCGAAGCAGGCCCGCCTGGCGCGCCCGCCCAGCAGCGCGACTCCGCCCGCGACGCCCGCCTGAGTCCAGCAGCAGCCGAGCACCAGGCCGGCAGCGGCAGCGGCAGCAGGGACCGATTGCGATCTCCGCCGGCCACCGCACCCCCATCTGGTCCGCCGCGCGGGTGGGGGAGCCCCGGCGGCGCGTAGTGCATCATGACTTCGCGGGAGGAGCCTGCTCGGCCAAGGCGGCCTGCTCCTCCCGCAGCTTCATCGCGTTATTCTTGATGTCCGCAATCAGTTCCAGCTCCTTCGACACCTGATGCAGCAGCTCGGGGCAACCCATGCTGGCGGCGCATCGTCCAGCGGCCAGCATGGGTTGCACATCGTCCAGAAGGCCTGCACATCGTCCAGCGGCCTCCTGGCGTTGGCCCGATGCTGCCCCTGCCGGCGCTCGTCCTTGTAGTACTTTATCAGCTGGGGTTTGCGGTAGCCGACCTCCACCCCTGCCCAGATATAGAGGTCCAGCGGGTCGACGGTCCCGAGCATCTCCACAAACTTACTTAACATCTCGTGCTCCGTCACGCCGAAGTCGCTGTCCTGGAGCCAGCGGTGCGTCCCCCGCACCTCCGAGTGCCAGATCGGCCCGCCATCGCGGGGCTGGTCTGCCGCACACCACTTCACCGACCTCGGGACCTTCACGCCGAAGTCAGGGATGTCCTCCTCGCGGCAGTCCGAGATGACGGCCGCCCAGGCCCGCTCGCGCTTGACCGCGGCGCCCACCACTGGCAGCGAGCGCGCGTCCGAGCCCATACACTCCCGCTTGAGGTGGTCGACCTCCGTGTCCGCCACGCGCGCCACGAAGACCGACTGTCCACTGGGGAGCAGAGCCACCTCGCGCCGGCCTGCACCGTCGCCGAGGGGGGACCTCCTGGAACCCCCACGTCCAGCGCCTGCCCGCACGTCACCAGCACAGCGAGGTCCTCCTGCGCGCGCCAGCTCCAGCCCCAGGGGGTCCCCCCGCTGGCCGGGATGACCACCGGCAGCCTATATGGGATGGTTGCCGCCCGGCCGGGAGGGGCCGAGCCCCCGGCCTGGCACGCGACGGCCACAGACGGCGCCGGCCCCACTGCCGCGGCTGGCTCGGGGGCCGGCGCGGCGCCAAGCGCGGGCCCAGCGGCGATGGGCCCTGGAGGCAGAGCCGGGCCCGCTCCAGTCCCCTGGGCCGCCGGCCCCGCCGCGGCCACGAGCTCCGCCATCACGCCGGCGACGGCCTCGAATGGCACGAACTCGTTCGCCGGGATCGGGCCTCCGGCGCCCCCAGCCGCCACGTCCGCGCCAGCCCAGAGCCGATCGGCCTCGACGCCGAGGGACCCGTCCTGTAGCTCTCCTCGTACACGTCCAGGTCCAGCGCCCCGAGGAGCGCTCGGTCGAGCTCAGTCGCCGAGCACACCGCGCGCCGGCATCCCATCGCACGCCGTTGGTGGTACCCCGAGGGCCCCGCCACCGTGCACAGCACGAACGCGAGCGCAGGCGCCGTCAGTGTCGGGGATCTTCTGACCCGGGTCAATCCAGACCCGGGTCAGCAGGAAACCAAAAACTGCAATGCAGGAAAAAAAACTGCAACGCAGGTCTTCGCAAACCAGGGTCAGCCAATATGTGCGGCCGCCTCGCGGCCACGAGCGGCTCCCAAACCCGGGTCAGCCAGAGGAGGTCTTCGCAGGATCCTGCAGGATCTGGCGCCCTGGCTGACCCCCGTTTGCATTGACCCCCGTCTCAAGGCTCCCGACAGTGCGGCCATCCTCGAGCCCCGGCGCCGGCGGCGCCGCTGCCGATCGCCTCGAGCAGCCCCAGCGCCCGACGGCCCAGACGACGAGCGCGACCAGGAGGCCCCCGAGGCTGAAGGCGGCGAGAGGGACCGCCGCCCAGCTGCCCGAGATGGCCGGCGCGGACGGCCGCGCGGGGGGCGGCGGAGCTCCCGGGCAGGCAGGGCAGCTGGGGATCTCCGGCAGGGCCAGGCACGAGGGGATCGGCGGGCAGGCAGGCGCCTCCGGGCACCGACTCGACGCCAGCACCTGCGCGAGGCCGACCCAGTGGAGCGTCTTTCGCACTAGGACCTCGGCCAGCGCCGCTTGCATACCCCGCCGGGGACCGCCGGTGGTATAGCCTCAATTCAGCACAAGCTTTCGAGCTTAAATGGATACGGAAAGGTTTGCCCGTCGTGTGAAGCCCCGAGCCCTTCAACGATTAAACCTGCGGCCGCTCTCTGACGCTGCATTGCATTTCGCAGTGAAACAGTATACAAAATGTTCGGCGCCTGCGGCGGGCGGTTTTTGAATCCCTTCCAGGTGGATGTGGAGAGTTCGCGACCCACCCGCGACCCAAACTACGTTCACTGAACAAACCAAAATTTCGGCGCCTGCGGCGGGCTGTTTTTGCATTCGCTCCATGTGGCCCACCAGCGATCCCCCCCGCGCTGAACTTGTCAGGAGCAGGAGGAGGAGGAGGAGGAGGAGGAGGAGGAGGAGGGCGCCATCGACAGGAAAGGTGAGGGCCACGAGGTCCGCCGGCTCGACGCCCACGTCGCCCGCGCCCGCCCCCTCACTCTTATCCGCAATTGCGGGGTGCTACGGATACATATCATGTGTGCTTAAACGTGTAGAATACGTTTCAACTGTATTCTGATGCTATAAGCATGCTCCGGCAAACCCCTCCCAGAGGAGGACATCCAACGTACATTTAAAACACCCAGAGCACATCTGGAAAGTATCGGACAACGCGCCTCCTCGCCATCGATCTGACTCCACATACATGCGTACAGACAGACAGACAGACAGACAGACAGACAGACAGACAGACAGACAGACAGACAGACAGACAGACAGACATATAGACATATCCTCCTGCGGCGAATTCGCCCGATGCGAGGGGAGGTACCGGGTGGGTCATTTTCAGGGGCGCCGTGCGGGTTCAGCCGCACAACGGCCCGCCGCCCGCCCCCTGCAGGGCGGCATTGCAGGGCAGGAGAGAGCAGCGAGGGACGCAACCAGCCCCAGCCCAAAAGGCTGCGGGGGCGCAGAAGAGGGGAGAGGAGAAGAAGAGCGGGCGACAGAAGGGGAGAATTCCAAACTTGCAGGCCTTGCCTAATAAACCCAAATTATTCCGCGGTGCATTCCGATGCGAGGAGAGGGACCGGGATGGTCATTTTCCGTGGCGCCATGTGGGTTCAGCCGCACAGCGGTCCGCCGCCCACAAACAGGTGGGGGGCCACGGGACACTTCCTTTGAAGCGCTCCTTCCGAGATGCACGCCTTCCAGAGGAAGGCCATCCGCAGCCAGGCCCTAGGGTCGGGGATGGACAGACCTCCCTTTAGTAAAACGTGGTTTCGTGAAAGCGACCTCGGGCCTCAACCTGGCGGGCGCAAGCCTGGAAAATGACGGCCGCGGCGCCCTCCCGAGAACCGAAAACGGACGATTCGCGAATCGACGTGTCAGCGTAGGAGGTCTGTCCACCCCCGGTAGGGGAGAAACCCCCTGGTATAAAACAGGGCTAGGATCGGGATAAATCGCTCCAGAGCGTTCCGGAGCGCTCTCAGAGCGTTCCGGAACGCTCTGGAGCGGCCGCGGCGCCCAATACATCCTCCAAACCCGCCGATTCTCAGAGATTTCGAGTTATCCCGATCCGATTTTGTCCCGATCTTCGCGTCGTTTTATGGTATGCCGACGGCGGCTCTCAAGGCACCCCGCGCGTGGCGCGCTGGGGTCGGGCCAGCCACGGCGGTGCCCGTGGGCCATGGGGCCCCACCCTGGCCAAGGGAACGTGCTGGCCCGTGGGGCGCGGGGGCCCGCTCTGGCCCCACCGCGCCCCTGGCGAGCGCGAGCGAAGGCGCGGTCCGGTCCCCGCCTTCCCTTCGGCGGGGAGTGGGGGGCCTCTCTCTAGAGGAAAAAGAACTATGCACATGCACCGATTCTGGCCAGGCCCATCCTGAGCCCAGGATCGGTGCATACGCCCTCCTGCCTTGGCCAGGAAGGCATATGCACCGATCCTGGGTCAAGGATGGGCCTTGCCAGGATCGGTGCATGTGCATAGTTCCCTTTGCCCGATCTCTCGCCTCAGACATAGTCCGGGGGGTGGTTCCCGATGGTCCACCTTGCCCGGTACTCCTCCCTGGAGCACCAGAGGCAGATCCACATCAGCCCGTGGCGTTAGCATACAGACTCTGTATCCTGCCCGTCTTCCTGGCTACTTCCGCTGCTTCCGTCCATGCCCGTCCCTCGATCTGAGCGACCTCCGAGAGCCACTCCGCCATGGCTTCTGGAGGGCCACCCATCTGTGCTAGGAGTGGTTGAGGCTGGCCGGCTGCTGAGCCGTGTGTGGCACGCTCCCGTGAGCAGTGCCGAAAATGCCGACCTGGGCTGCATCCGCGGGCACCTCCAGGCGTCCGCCCTTGCGCGCGGGAAGCCAGTTGGCAGTCCAGACCCAATCTGTTTCCCCGCCCTGGCTTGCGCGGATGTTTGGGCGCCCGAGTTATCCGGGGTAACTCGGGTCCGGGGTAACTCGGGTTCGGACTCCCGAAAAACCAACCCGAGTAAGCCCTGACCCGAGTTACCCCTGATGATTCGGGGCTCTGAGATGTCTCGGCTGCTCTCTGTCGTCTGGAGCGGGGGGGGGGAGCGGCGGTCCGCCGGTGGGTCCCCGGCCGGCTCTTTCTCGTCTTGTCGCGCCTCCTTAAGGGGCCTGCAGCCCATCCCCTCCCACGCCGCCGCGGCCTCCTGACGGCTCCCCGGGGGGCCCTCCTGGGCCATGGCTCCCCCCGAGCTGCTCCGCCTCCGCCCTGGCCTCGTGGGCGGGGGCGCCCCGACGGGGGCCCCCCCACTCCGGGGGGGGGGAGTGGCTCCCACGCTGGGGGCTTGGGGCCCCTGGGCCGGCTCCCGCTGAGGCTCACGGCCCCCTTCGCTGGGCCCAGCCTGCTCCCCGTGTCCCCCAGCTGTGATTCGTCCTCGCCCATGGCGGTCGCCCCCCAGCTTGGCCGCCCAGGCCTTCTCTGCCCCGGCCCCCTTCGCTGGTTCGGCGGGGCGGGGCTCCTCCCAGCACCGCGCCCAAGCTTCCAGGCACTCCTCCTCCCCCTTCGAGCCGAGCGGGGCCTCCGCCGCGGGTGCCCGCACATCAAACGCGCTCGGCCCCGGGGGGGCGCCAGCCGCTGGTCCGCCCCTTCCGCCCGAAGGGGTCGCCGAACCCGCGGATCCAGCGCGCCCGGGGGGAACTGAGTCCTTGGGCGGTTCTTCGGGCTGGTCGATCAGGACTTCCGCCACGACAACCTCCGCCCTGCACATGGCCATCCTGATCACTTCCCTTGCCTCCTCCGAAGTGAACTGGCAGCGCTCCACCTCCTGGCTCGTGGCGAAGGCTATCCCGTACTGGTCTCCCGTGCTGTTCGGCTTGACCGCCAGCGCACCCTTCACGACGTGGTGGTGGTAGTGGGTGGTGGACCCCCCCTTCCTGGGATCTGGAGACAGGCGGCGAACGTGTGGGCGCCCCTCAGAAGTTCCGTCTTTGGGTGCACGGGATCCTTCCAGGGCCTGGGGACGCACCTCCGCTCTGGGGAGGGGGAGATGGTCGTCCCGGGGCACTCGTCCAGGGCCAGGGTGGCCGTGCCGAGGAGATCCTGGTCTTCTTCCTGCTCTGAGCCTACGGCGAGCCCCTAGCAGCCGTTGCGCCGGTGGACCAGAAGGGCCTGGAGGGCCCCTTCCTTGGTGAATTGGGTGGCCGCTATGCTGTCCAGCCTGCGCGGGGCCTGGGCCGGCGGTGGCTGCTTGACTCCTGCCGTCGGCGTCGTCGCCCTCCTCCTCCTCTTCCTCATCCACCTCCTCCTGATCTCCTCCTCCTCCTCCTCCTTCTCCTCCTCGGTGTCCTCGTCGTCGTCGCCCCATTCCTCCTCCATCTCCCTCGTGCTCTTGCTCCTCCTCCTCCGCCTCCTCCTCCTCCTCCTCCTCCTCCCCTTCCTCCTCCTCCTCCTCCAACACTCCCGCCTTGCTCTTCACCCGCCTCCTTCATCCCCTTCCTCGTTTGGCACTTTCTCCTCCACATGTTCCTTCTCTCTCTTCGAAGGCAGGCTCCTCGATTCCCTTCCTGGGTATGCTTAGGTTGATTCCGAGCTTGGTCTTGACGGCGGACTCACCTGCCCGTTCCACTGGATGCTCCCTCACTTCTCTGCGCAAGGCAACTCGCCCGGCGATCGTTGCTGGATGGGCTGGTGGGGATTACGCGAAGCGTCGAGGAATCATGGTGCGACAATCTTCACATATTGATACGTATGGTTGGCTAATTGGGCCCTTCCCTGCGCCACCCGATGCGGACTTCAAAGGCTAGAAGGGTGCCGGCATGTCCGCAGCGGGGAAGCAAGGCTTTTGGCGCCCCGTGCACCCTGCAGCCGTGATTCACCAGTCGGGGTTGATTGGAGAGGACACGCGAGAGGACAAAAGGCCCCTCGCCGCAGGAATGTAAAGGCATGGGTCGCGAAGCACAGGACACAAGGATACCCTTGATTTGGCAAGGTCGACCTACTAATCAGCTTCGCCTGCAAGGCAAAATTGGATCGGAACCCGCATCGGATCCAGACTCGGAGCCACTACCCCCCCAACAAAAGTAAAGAAACAACGAAGCCAGACGGAGACACGCAGAAGGGCCGAAATCCACCGAGAAACCTCCCCCTGCTCCTCCCCCCAGACTATTCGCCCGCTGTCCTACCTCTCCCCTGCTGCCACCCCGCTGCACCTCCTCCTCCTCCTCCTCCTCCTCCTCCTCCTCCTAACCCGCCGTCTTTTAATCCGCATCGTCCTCCTCCTCTTTCTCCTCCTCTTCCTCCTTCCCATCATCAATACCATCAGCATCATCATCATCATCATCATCATCATCATCATCATCATCATCATCATCATCATCATAATCATCATCATCATCATCATCATCATCATCATCATCATCATCATCATCATCATCATCATCGCCATCATCGTCACCAGCATCATCATCATGATCATCATCATCAACAACTACATCATCATCATCATCATCATCATCATCATCATCATCACCATCATCATCAGCATCATCAGCAGCATCATCAGCAGCATCGTCAGCAGCATCATCGTCATCAGCATCAGCATCAGCATCAGCATCATCAGCATCTTCATCATCATCATCAGCATCATCATCATCGTCATCGTCATCGTCATCGTCATCGTCATCGTCATCGTCATCACCACCATCATCATCATCATCATCATCATCATCATCATCATCATCATCATCATCATCATCAATCATCATCATCATCATCATCATCATCATCACCATATCCACCATCATCCAGCTCCTCTAATGCTTGCAGCGCCTTCTGAAGGGAACTTGGGATGGGAGGCTGTGTTGCTCCATCGTTGATGCACCTTGGGTTTACAATGGTCGTCTTCCTTCTGCTCCGTTTGCTCCTCTTCTGATCTATCCCTCCCCTGCTTCTCCTTCTCCTTTCCCTGCTCACTGTTCCCGCCAAAGGGCGAACATAACGATACAAGAACGACGGCAAAGCGGCCTGTTCTTGCTGCTTGACCTCAACTCCCACCGCTCGGCGGCGAAAGGCGCGGCGGTTTGCCCCCTCCCCCCCATTTTCCACGAGGCCAGGCGAATGAGGACGAGGGAGGGGGGGGAACGCGGGAGAAGGAGAGAAAGGGGAAAGAGGGAAAGAGAGAGGGAAGGAGGGAAAGATGGGCCAGGGTGGACGAGGGATTTACGAGGGGTTTGTTTGACATCAGCAGCCAAAGGCCCCTGCTCAATGAGGAAAATCAAAGCAGACCATGCCGATGACCACGAACACGACAAGCTGCCAGGGAGAGCGATAGGACCGATCGATGAAGACCGAGTCGGAGCAGTAAATTGCAGTGATCGCCATGCTCGGGAAGCCACCTGCAATACCAGGAGGAGGAGGGAATGGAGGGAGGAGGTCGTGCAGGAAAGAGGGCAGGGCAGCAAATTCTGAGATCTGGCCACGCGGGCCGCGGGTCGCCAGCGCCACACCAACCCGAAGAGCACAGCGAGGCCAGACACCACGGGCCGCGCGGACCTCTTGGATCGGCGCTGGAAGGGACCTGGTCCCCCCCGCCGTCGCCGCCCCCAGGCGCCACCCCTGGCGGGCTCCAGGCCAAAGAAACCCGAGCGGACCTCCAAGCAACAAAAAAAGGAGTCGCCGGGCAGGGGCACCAACGCCGCTGGGACAATCTCGACGACCACACACTTGGGCACTCCTGTGGAGCTGCTAAGCTGCACTGTCACACCAGGGGGGAGAGGGGGAATGGCACGCGGCACGGACGGCGACCCCTGAGAATGGGAGGGGCCACGCCAGCCGATGCCGCCCAGCTTCCCTGCTCCGCCCCCCCAGGCCACCTTTCTGGCCCCCCCTGCACCGTGGATGCGTTGGATGGTCTGCGTTGCTCCCATCGCACTTACGGACCACATCCCAGCACCCAGGAAAGTATCGAAACATCGTCGAACGAGTATGTCTCCCAGGGCCCGACACGTGAAAACCCTCAAGTGTCGGTACTTTCTGGGTGCTCGGTGTTGTTGTTCTGGTGACCAAGGCTACAGTAAGTTGGAGCATCATAAGTCTGGGTGGAAATGGGATGTGAGGACGCCGCTCTGCAAACACGAGAAGCTGACGAAACCATTTGTCTAGGACGACCTTGTTCGTAGCACTGCAGCTGCAATCTGCCACCGTCGCGGCGATCTGATCCTCGCTTCTAAAATGGGCAGCAACTGGATGCAACTCACGCTCACACCCTCAGGGGGCATAACTAAAGGATGGGTGGACCACCAGACCACCGTGAAGAGCGTGAGCATAAGACAGTTCTTGGCGCTTCAAGACGGCACGGCTGCTCCCTCCGAGCCCTCCCACCAGCAAAAGCCCGCCGAATACAAGCTCTGACAAATGGCACATTGGACATCGAATTACTTCTACCGAGGGGTGTTGCAAGCGTGGGGGGGATTTGGGGAAACCAAAAAGCACCGATACCGCTACTCCCCGGACCTCTCCAGGGGTGCGTTCTGACCAGAACTTCGAGGCGAATCCAGCGGTGGCGACGAGGGCCTCCCGGGAGGCCCAAGAAGTGGAACACGAGAGGAAGGCAACGGTATGGGTACCTTTTCTCGGGCATGGACAGACCCCCCTTTAGTAAAACGTGGTTTAGTGAAAACGACCTGAGGCCCAAACCTGGCGGGCGCAAGCCTGGAAAATAACGGCCACGGCGCCATCTCGAGAACCGAAAACGGACAATTCACTAATCGACGTGGCACTGGGGGTTCTGTCCACCCCCGATGTTCCTCCTCTGAGAATATGGCCTCGCGGGCATCACGAAACACACAAGGTGGTCCGAAGCCCACCGTGAAACCGAAGCCCCCCTCTCCGTGGATGCTGCCGTCACTTGAGGCCCCCGAGGCGGGGGTGTATGCACATCGGAAGGGGCCCTGGGAGACACAAATAAATACACACAAATAAAAATATTCCCCATATTTTCCCATATTTTCTGTGTTTCTGTCTTCCCCCCTTCCCATATTTTCCAATATTTTCTGGGGAATCGTCGATTAATTGTGTCTGTGTGCTTTTTCCCCTCCTGAACATCCACCGCCTGAGGAGCCAATATACCTGGACCCCAGGAGGGGGTGGACACGGATGTATCTGGCCCCAGGGGGCCAAATACATCCTTCTCTACCGACCCCCATACGTCCAGGAAGATCGATTCCCCAGGCGGCGGATCTGCACAGAAGCTAGCCTCTGATCGAAGCACCCTGGTAGGGACTTCCACACTGTTGCTGAGCCACTGTCCGCCCAGGGCGAGGGCGAGGACCGCAGTGCTGCTCTCTTGGGATGCCGTGCCACGGCGCTCGAGGGCTGCGCGCTGTCTCCGCGCGCGGGGCTCCCGCCTCCTCTGCGGCGGGCTCGCGTCGCGACGGCGTCGGTGCTGGCTTCTGACACCTGGCGGATGGTGAAACCTTTGAAGGGGAACTGGAACACACAAACAAATACACACAAATAAAACTATCCCCCATATTTTCCCATATGTTCTGGGCTTCTGTCTTCCCCCCCACTTCCCATATGTTCCCATATTTTCTGGGAATCGCCGATTAATTGTGTCTGTGTGTGTTTTTTCCCCTCCTGAACCTTGAATGACCGCTTCCTTACGATAGCTCAGATCGTTCGGTAAGGGCCGACTCTGAGCCATTGGTGGCGGTCCACCTTCAAAGCAAACGCGCCATAGCAATCAGTAACAAGCCGTCAACCCTCCCCCGTCGCACCCTCCACTCGAGGTCTTGCTTCTCCTGCTTATCCTTCAAGATCAGGGCCTGCATCTTGTCCTTAATGGCCTTGAGAGGAGTAGCGATAAGAGACATCCAGGGGAGTGTTTCTCTATTGCAATATTGTACTCCAGCTGTGCTGACTCATTTTCATCCTCCTCCCTGCCTCCCGCCTCGTCCTCAATTCCTTTTTCTTATAACAAATAATTCATCCCTGTCACACCTCGAGGCCAGTCGAAAGGGCGGGGCCGGGCGTTTCGCCTGAGACCCCCTCACCATTTGTGGCCCTCAACATTGGCAACAGTTTCACACATGGAGGGCGGGCGGTTGTCAAAATGTGGCTCTCGCCATAGCCCCGCGCACATTCGTTCTCAAAAGTCGCAAGAGTTCCACGGATTGAGTGCGGGCGGTTTTCAAAATGTGGCTCTCGCCTTAGCGCCGCGCACGCTCGTCTTAAAACAGATGCAAGCATTTCGCTGATTGAGGGCGGCTCGTTTTCAAAATGTGTCACTCGCTTTAGCGCCGCGCACATTCGGCTTAAAAAATTACAAGACGTTCGCGAATTCCCATGGTCAGTGTACCAGAGATAGTGTTTGGAAGGATTCCGGGTTGTGAGGGTGCAACAGTTACGCTGATTCGCGGTGGTGACAGCCCAGGAATGGCGTTCTGGTGCTATTCAGGATCGTCAAGACGCGACAGTCAGGTTGATCCGTGGCGCTGGAGTCCCGAGAATGGTGTTTTGGCATGCTGCAGGGTCTTCAAACGGTTCTCTCCCAACGAGGCAGTTCCCTCAATGGAAATGAACCCTTGTAGGGACCTATGAAGAGGAGACTCGGAGGGAGGGTTTATTCCAACACCGTTGATGAGTCGTCGGCTCACTTACACTGGTCATCCTCCTCCTCACGCTGCTGATGTTCCTCCTCCTCCTACTGCTGATGCCACTACTAACTACTCAAGTTTCGCGTCGCCTTCTCCTTCTCATTGTATTACACGCCTCCTCCACCACTGTCTTCTGCTGCTCCTCTCCCAATGGTTCGTCCTCATCGTGAATATCATTATCCATATCTTCCTCCATCTCCTCCTCCTCCTCCCCCAACCACCCCTCTCCTCTCCGCCACCCCTCCTCCTCTTCCTCCTCCTCCTCCTCTTCCTCCTCCCCACCGCGCCTCTCCTCGTTCTCCTGCTCATCCTCCGCGTCCCGCTCGCACACTCGTCGTGCTCCTCCTCCTCCTCCTCCTCCTCCTCCTCCTTCGTCTCTTCCTCCTACTGCTTCGCCTCCTATCTATCCTCCCCGTCTTCCTCCTCATCCTCCTGCTTCTTTTCCTCCTCCTCCCCATCATCATCATCCTCCCGCCTTCGCGCCTGCTGCTCCTGCTCCTGCTCGTCGTCATCTCCTCCTGCTGAAAGGGGTGCTTGTCCCATTCGTTTGCGAGATCAAATCGCCTGTGTGATTGCTCCGACGGGTTGGCGCTCCATGCGCTTTCGTTTATGTTGCAAGAATGCGGTGAAGGCGGAATCCGCCGGCCCCCTTGTGGGGCCGCCAGGCTGTAGGGCGAAGGTTCGCAGTTTCCTGTACCAGTTGCAGCTTCAAGTTTCCACTGTTACAGTTCTGCTTCTTGCTGCTTACTGTTCCTTGTCGACTTTTTGCTACTTACTGTTCCTTGTTGATGGACCACGCGAGGGGGGGAGGCCCAAAACGGTCATTTCTTTTACCACGCCCTGAGCGTGTGGGTGACAATTGACACCCCTCACGCAGATCGGCGGGGTCAGGGTCCAAAAACACACGGGATTTGCAACATTTCTGAAATTCGGTGGCACCCGTCACGCAGATCCGTAGGGTCAGGGTCCAAAAACACATGGGATTTGCTATATTTCTCAAATTTGCTGGCACCCCTCATGCAGATCGGCGGGGTCAGGGTCCAAAAACACAATGGATTTGCCACATTCCTCAAATTCGGCGGCACCCCTCACGCAGATCGGCGGGGTCAGGGTTCAACAATTGTTAGGATTTGCAACCTTTCTGAAATTCACTGACACCCCTCACGCAGATCGGCGGGGTCAGGGTCCAAAAACACGTGGGATTTGCTTTACTTCTAAAATTCGCTGGCACCCCTCATGCAGATCGGCGGGGTTAGGGTGCAAAAAACACACGGGAGTTGCTACATGTCTGAAATTCGGCGGCACCCCTCATGCAGATCGGCGGGGTCAGGCTCCAAAAACACACGGGATGTGCCACATTTCTGAAATTCGGCGGCAACCCTCACGCAGATCCGTAGGGTCAGGGTCCAAAAACAAAAGGGATTTGCCACATTTCTGAAATTCGGTGGCACCCGTGACGTAGATCCGTACGGACAGAGTCGAAAAACAAACAGGTCCCGACACTGCTTCACGTCTGCGCCCAGACCTCATGATTTAGCTTTTGCATCTCCCATTATCCGAGACAGGGGGCCGGCGGCATGGGGCGAAGCCCTTACGGATATCCCTCGCTGTGACCAATCAATTCCGCGAACAGAGAATGAAGCTCCGCCCCAGTCAGCAACATCAGGAACGAAATAATCAGCCGTCGAAGGAGGAGAGCGAAAGAAACACATCGAAAACAAAGAGCAACGCCTCAAACCAACCTGCCGTGTGTGAACTGGTTGCGAGCACCCGCTTCACTCCCTGACCTCCTTCTACGTCCCTCCCTCCGCCTCTTCATCCGCCTCCCCGCATCCCAACAACAATATCCCCACCATCGCCATCGTCATCACTGCCGTCATCGGCGGCGCAATCGTCGCGGTAAGCATCATCATCTTCAGCATCTTCAATAAAATCCTGCATATCCCAATCATCTGCATCCTCATCCTCGCCCCCTTCATCTCCTCCCCGTCGTCACGATCCGCGTCCTATCTACACCACGGTCTCCTCGCCCTCGTCGTCCTCCTCCTCCTCCTCCTCCTCCTGCTGCCCATCCGCTTGCAAGACGAATCAATCCTGATCCGCATGGCATCCGCCTCAGGGGCAAGTCACCATCATGAAATCGGCAGCAACGCGATCCCCCCTCCTTCTCATCGTCCTCGTCCACCCGACCCGGCCTTGTGCTAGTCGTCGCCGGGGCCGTCGCACTCCTCCACCCCTTGACCTCAGCCTCAGTCATCGCCGTCCTCCTCCCCACCCTCCTCTTCCCTCTGTGCACCCCTGGCGGAGCCTCCGGCACCGTCCCTGTTTCGCCGCGCGCGCCACGGAGGAGGGTCCAGTGCCTATCCAATGCATCCGCGTGGAATTCCGAACAATCATGTTTGGGTTGTTGTTTCTTCGTCGATGGTCGTCCTCGGCCTCTCCCTCTTTCTCTCCCTCGTTCTCATCATCGTCGTAATCCTCCTTCTCCTCCGCCTCCCCTTCAGCCTGCCCCGCGTCCCCCGATACAGGGCGGGCGCCTTGGTCGGCTCGCCCACGAGCACCAAGGCCGACTGCTTAAAGTGGGGCGCGCTGAACTTCTTCAGGGTCGCCTGCCGCTCCTGACGGGGGGGGAGGATGAGAGGAGGACTGGGAGGCGGGGAGAGGAGGAAGGCTCTTTGTCCCCCACTCGTACCTTCTCCCCCGCCTCCTCACTGTCCCTCCTGCGAGGTCCAACGTCCCGGTCCGTGGAGAGCATCTGCCGCATCACATGGCACCTGGATCCTGACTGGCCGAGCGCCCGGCTGTCAGACAGACCGGGGTCGCTCGTGTAGGATCTGCGGCGCCGGCAGGGCACGCGCCAGCTAGGGCTCCCAACTTCGCGCTTCGCGCTCCGCGAAGCGCGAAGCGCGAATAACTTCGCGCTCTCGCGCCGCCCCCCCAAAGGGAGAAAAGGAGGACGAGGAGGAGGAGGAGAAGGAACGAGGACCGCGAAGCGCGAAGCGCGAATAACTTCGCGCCCTCCTGGGAGCCCTTGCACTCCGCACGCCGCGTGGAGCCCGCACGCCGGAGGGCCTGCGGCCGTGGCCTCCCCGCCTCCCCAATGCCGTGCGATGCAGGGCCTCACGGCGCAGTGCCACTCCGTGCTGCGGCATCCTGCGCTCTGCCGTGCCCTCCTACGCCATGCCACGCCGTGCTCTGCCACGGCATCGCGCACCCTCTCGCGATCCTTGCCCTGCTCGCTATGTCCGACTGTGCGAGTAGAGAGGGGACCTGCGTCAGGGGAAGGGATGGGAGGGAGGGGTGGGACGTCAGAAATGACGCGACCGCGCCTCGCTCGTTCCCCTCCCCCTCCCCCCTTCCCTCCGGCCCTCGCCGGTGTGCTGCTGCTGCTCGCCGCGCTTCCTCCTCGGCCGGCGGCCTCGGCTGCGGTGCCCCTTCGCGGGAGCGCAGGCCAGCCTGCCAGGCTGCCATCTCCCAGCTGGCACGGAGCGCTGCCTGGGGTGCTGCCGAGTCTGGCCACGGGCTCGCTGGAGTTGTCGGTCGCGGATCTCCAGTGTCTCTGCCCGTGCTCACCCAGCGTACAAACCGCTCGGCCCAAAAAACCGCGCGGTCTCTTGCGGCTTGGGAGACCCACGCCCAACTACCATCAGGAACTATTCCACTATATGCCGCCAGGGTGCCAGGAGATGATCAAGGACCTCCCCCCCCACCCACACACACACACAGAGACACACAGACACACACAGACACACACACACACACAGACACACAACACATCACATAACAGGCCCCTGTCCGCCATGAGCATAGGGAGAGCCGAACTCCGCACCGCAATTCAGGAAACGGTGTCTGATTCGATCCAGGCTGCCTGCTTGTCTGACACATCTCTTTCTAAAGGAGCCAGGTCTCCCTGCTAAAACCAACGCGTCTAGCGAACTACCTACAAACTCGAAAAGCCGTCCGATGACACAACCATGCAATTACGGATCAACCATCGTCGGTAACCAACTCGCCGAACAAACCACCCGGTGGGCGTGTCCTTTGCTTGGATCTGCCAGGCTTTACATCACACAAGTTGCATTAGCTCGCAGTGTTCGAGGACGTGTATGATTTCATGAGGCCGTTAGCTCAAGATGCGCTCTCTGAATTTTGGATTTGCTGGCGTCCCTCGGCTATTCGTGCCTGGCCGCGCGGAACAGCACGACAACCTGGAAAACTTGGAACATGTCGCTATCGTCAATGATCGCCCATCTGAAAAGGCCCCTCCTCGGGGGGGTCCGAGTAGATGGAGTCGAAGGATCGCGCCGCATCGCCAATGCATCGCCGATGCGTCGGTGATGCATCGGCAACGTCGGCGATGAATCGGCAACGTCGGCGTGGGGAAACACGCGCTCCACATCGAGTCTCATCGTCAATGCATCGGCCATGCGGCGCGCTCATCCGACCCCTTCTGCTCGGACCCCATCTAGGAGGCCTAGAACCTGATCTTCAGGGTCCGCGCTATGATCACAGAAAGACCACAGAACCGCCTGCTTTGCACCTGGCACCGACCTGCGCCACGGCCTTCACGCGTCTTCGGGCGATGAGCAGACCATCCACAAAAACAGAGCTATGCACAGCAAATTCCACCTCGAGGCGGCGGGGCGGGCCGCTCTTGAGAGCGGTCTTTTTCGCCAACGGTCAGCCTCGCCAGCGGTTGTCCTTGCTGTAGCTTCCAAGTCGTCTCCGCACGGTCGTGCTCACCAGGACGTCTTCGCCCCGAAATCGCCGCCCGCGGCCGTCTTCGCCCATCTTCGCCCATCGTCTTCGCCCGGCTTCCGCTGGTCCCGCTATAAGGCCCGCTTGTCCGACCGCCCACCAAGCCTTGCCCGCAAGACTCGCCCGCTACGAGGAGGAGGATGAGGAGGAGGAGGAGGAGGAGGAGGAAGGGGAGGGGGAGGGGGAGGGGGAGGGAGACGGGGAGGAGGAGGAAGAGGAGGAGGAGGAGGAGCAGGAGGAGGAGGAGGAGAAAGAGGAGGAAGGGGAGGGGGAAGGGGATTTTCCCTCGAGGGCCCATGGGCAGAACATCACCACAACGGCCTCAGGCCGATCCTGCTGCACGAGATGCCTCCTCTCTCTGCCGAATCCTCTCCGCCAGGGCCGACATTCCAGGTGTCGAAATCAGGCCCGAGCGAGAGGAGGAGGAGGAGGACGGTCCAGGGTCAGCTGCCTTGAGCAGGACATACCTGGCCGACGCACGACATGTGGTGCCATCGCTTGCAGATACCGTGCCCCGATTTCTGTAATGGGGCGGGAGACCTCGACGGATGCGGGACAGGGCACCTCGCCCGCTGGGGCCAGGAGGTCCGCACATCCCGCCAAGGAGGTAACACCGCTTGCTGGTGAAGGCACCACAGCGGAAACAGAAAACAGTAGGAGCACACCCGTCATCCTGCACGAAGGTCGTGCACAGGAGGTGGCCCCGCTCGCTCTCGGCGCCTTGCAATCTGCGGAGAGCAGTGGGCAGACCCTTGCAGCCGTCCATGGGTCTGCTATCTCCAATCGCCGTCTTGAAACATTTCGAGCACCTGGCGAGCGAGGGAGTTTCGTCGTCCCCTGGGTCCAGAACACGCCAGTCATGCCACGCAATGGCACGGAGGGCCCGAGCTTTCACCCGAGGAGCCGTGGGGTCCCGAATAAACTGGAGCTTGGGAAAAAGCGACAAAACAGCACCGAACATGGCAACCAGCTTTCGCAGGAGAGCCACGTCCTTATCTAATTGCTCAAGCTCCTCGTCGGACAACGAGGGGTGAAGAGACAAAGCATGCTTCGCCAGTCGATCCGCGTCCTGGTTCCCAAGAGCGATTTTGCGTTCCTGGGCGGGAAGCGCGGCTATCACTTCGTCCGACCTGTGCGCAGGCGTGTGAGCAAAAGAAGCAATGCTTCGCTGGCCTGGCTCCTGGAGAGCGCGCCGTCTGAGGCCAGCGAAAACCTGGCCAGGGTCCAACTGTACGGACTGACGCGCATTGGCTAGGTTGACAACTCCAAGACAGTCCGAGTGGGCCTCACTAAGGCCTGTGGCCACGCAGGAGAGCGTGGCAGCCCCGAGGTGTTCTCCCGACTGGGCCGTCTGAGGAAGGCCAGGCCAAACCGTTCCCAGAAGTCGAGCGCGAACCTCATACGGGGTCTCGCTCGACGGATCGAAGAAGACAGCAGCATACGTGGCACGATTCAGCTCGCGAAAGGCAAGCTGAGTAGCCGAACCATCGACAACAATTCGGGTGTTGACGGTTCGTTCACAAAACTCTTCGACCGATAGTGGCTCACCTGACGGCCCTTGGAGAAGGGGGTCGAGGTCGAGGCAAGGGTGAGGTGCCTCAGGCTGAGCCACCATAAGCCGAGACCAAAACAGCAGTTTTTCAGGCGAGCAGTTACGAGCCGCTAGTATCTCTTCGTCTGAGAGATGCTCGCGGCGTGCTGCTTCGACGGTCGGGTCCGAACACAGAAACTGCCTGTGGACTATGGAATCAGGCTCCCCACAAAGAGGACACAAACCATCCGAAACATACCCCGAGGATTTGAGCCGATCCGCAGTCCAGCAGGCCCCAGAGAAACACGCAGAAAGCCAGTACTTCTGCCGACCGTCGAGTTTCTTTGAGCGCAGCATTCGTCTCAAGGGATCGGGTGAGACGCGGGAAGAAGTGAACATCGGAGTGGCCTGGGCCATCCTACGCTCGTGCATCCGCTGGACGCCCTCCTCAAGCAGCTTATTGAGGAGAGCGGGCGAGGTGTACAGGAGGTCAATGACATATCCCCGCTCATCGTGCCAAACTGAGAAGCCCACCGCCTTCCAGCCGATCCTGTGCAAACATAAGAGCATCCTGTGAATGGGGCTCTTCGATTTCCGCCATCCCGTGGATTCAAGATCGAGCTCCTGGGACTGAACAACATCCCTCCATATCTGTATGTGCTGCCGAAACGAGAATGGAGAAGTAGATGGGGTGGTTATCGACCTCCAGAGGCTAGTCGCCCACTGATGGGCAGGGGCCACCGACTGTTTCCAGGCAGGGTCACCGTGCAGGACCAACTTGGCCGTCAGAGAGGCCCCCCGATGAGCTGGGTTTTTGCCTGCTAGCAAGACTCGCTGTAGAGACTGAAGCTCAGTGTTCGACATGCCTAGAACCATGGCGCCATAGCCAGCAGCAGGACGCACTCCAGCGATATAAATCTTCTGCATTCTGGATTTATCCCGAGGAAGTTTACGACGATAGTGAGAAATCAGTTTATGTCTCTTCCTCATCATCCTGAAACGCTCCTTCCTCTTATTCATACCTCCTTTGCAGGCTCGCCGTTGGCCTGGTGCCAAGTCCGTGCCCAGCGAGACGGCCGCGCTGGTCGCAGCCGATGGACAGACAGTACGGAGGCGACGGCACAGACGGTATGCAAGTCGCTGAGACGAGGCGAAGGTGACGGCCTTGTCCTCAGCCAAGCGGACGTTCAGCCTGTGATCAAAGACATCCTTGAGGTCAATCCCTGCTCGAACTAAGTTGGCTACAATCGCATCTTCGTCGCCGTACGCCGCCACCGTGTCATCGTCGACGTAGGATCCAAGGGAGACCTCAGGGTGCCGCTGGGACCA